TTCCAATGTTTAACCACTCTTTCAGTAAAGAAATTTTTCCTTACATCCAATCTAAACCTCCCCTGGCGCAACTTGAGACTGTTTTGTTTCATCCTATCGCTTGTTAGGTGGGAGAAGAGACTGACTCCCCCCTCGCTACAACCTCCTGTCAGGTGGTTGTAGAGAGCGATGAGGTCTCCCCTCAGCCTCCTTTTCTCCAGGCTGAACAACCCCAGCTCCCTCAGCCGCTCCTCATCAGACTTGTTCTCCAGACCCCTCACCAGCCTCGTTGCCCTTCTCTGGACACGCTCCAGCCCCTCGACGTCCTTCTTGGAGTGAGGGGCCCAAAACTGAACACAGTATTCGAGGTGCGGCCTCACCAGTGCCGAGTACAGGGGCACGATCACTGCCCTGCTCCTGCTGGCCACACTATTTCTGATACAGGCCAGGATGCCGTTGGCCTTCTTGGCCGCCTGGGCACACTGCCGGCTCATGTTCAGGGTATTTTTTCCTGGGTGTTTCCTAAAACTGTGCTAATTGGGTGGGGATTGCACAAGCCCTGCAGACCTTCAGGCTGTCTCCGAAGCAACCTCGCTAAATCCTCACCACCCCATTACTCATCACCACCCTGATCACAGTAACTTCTGCAAAATTCATTGCCTGGTCCTGGATCCCAAAGGGGTTCCCAGGGCTATGCATGAGCCAGCCCGGGGCAAGCAGGGACCTGTCAATCAGATGCAAGTTTTACCCTCGTCCTTGCCCTAGACTTAAAGTGCTTTGGGACCGGGACCTGTTTTAGCTTTTTGTGAACCACAGTGAAGAGGAATTTGGGAGCTTTGAGACAGAGATCAGCAGATATTCCTGCTATAAACCTGTTAGCTGATTTTGTCCTCATTTCTGATTTTAGAAGATTTATTAGATTACAGTTTTGGATTTATTAGACTACTGTTCCTCCTCTAGAAACCTGCAGAGATCCTGAGCAGACTGTGTAGTGGGGTCAGCAGAACTGCAATCAGCAGCTTCCCAACTGCCACAACCCTTCGGGGGAGCTGTCAGGGACCTTTGGGGACCAGCAGGGACCTCTAATACATGAGAGCAAACCAGAACCAATAACTCTGTCCTGGCTGCTGAGTTACCATCTCATTTTAGGCAGGACAGCTTACAAGGATGTGCTATTTATTATCTGCCTGTCTGTGTAGTGGGGATTTTTATTAATTAACTAACATTTGCTAAGACATTATGATGGTGGAGGTGAGATGAAGTAAAATCATTAAGCTTGCTACTCTAATTTATTACCCACAGAGCTCTGCAGATGAAGAACAATTAATAAAGCACCATTGTTCATAAACAGCAATAAAAATGAATAGAAATGCGGTACTTTAGCTCAGAACACTCAAGGCTTTGTTCATGATGAAAGCCGTGCTTGTCTCTGTCTATTCAACAAAGCATTCAAATACAGCTGAAGAGCATTTTCCTTTAAAGCAGATGCTTAGAGCTTGACTCAGCACAAACCTGAAGCATGATCTCCATTTCAGGTGCAGGCTTGACTCCTTCTCAGTGCACGTAAGCATGAAAAGCCTGCCCACACATTCACTGAGGACAGAGGAGTGCTTCTTACAGTGACTCCATTGACTTCCACTTATCTCCCAAAGTCTTTGAGATTTCATTTACTTTTTGCATGCGCTACGTGGATGCCATGAAAAAACTTCAGTCAAAATCCCTTCCTCCTCCCCAGGAAAGGGTCCTTGCAATCCAAACATGCCTACAAATAGCCTATCACATCAACTGAGCTAAAACAAAATAGGTCTTTCAAGAATGGGAAATTAAATACGAAGTGCAGAATTTCTGGTTTCACATCTCGTGTGAGTTATTAAGCTAACATTTTAACCACATTAGAAATATAAATCTTCCTGATCAGCTGGCTAATATCCCATTATGCATGCCCCTTTGGACATTAATTGCTAAGCTAGTGATTCATTGACTCAGGGACATTTGCCTGTGCAGTTTGCTCCCTGACCTGGCCGCCACATCCATCCAAGGAGCAGAGCAGCACAAGGGCTGTGAGTTTAAATCTGCCTCCTCAGTTGTATAAAACTGTTCTTGGAAGTCCAGACAAGCAGCAGGATCCATGAAATGCACTCACCTGGTACAATGACACACAGCCCATCCCAACCAAGCTGGCTGTTAAAATGCAGGTGAAAATGTGTTCGCCCCGAGAGAGGATCCCCTGAGTGCTGAGGACCACTCACTGGAGTAACATCACCCCAAGCAAAGTGCCAGTGGGTGAGTGCAGTAACGTAGCATGCAGGCCAGCACTGCCCTGTTATTGCCATTCCCTACCCATTTTCCATTACTTATACTTGGTTTGGAAGCAATTTGGAGGCAGGTCTTTTGGTTTGCATTTGTGCAGCACCTGCGCAGGGAGATCCTACCTCCCACTAGCTCCACAATGAAGATGATGATGGCACAAGACTCCTGGGCATTTATGAAAGGGTCCCTTCCCAGGACCATGCTCAGACTCGTGCCACCTCTGAGCACACACACACTCATTTTAGCTGCAGTGCTATTGTGCTCAGAGTTAAGCCTGTGCCTAAGTTTGTTTAGATGAATTTCGTTTAGATGAATTAGATGCCTTTTAGATGGCAGCTCAATTGTTATTAGAGCTGGCCAAAAGGCTTTCAGGAGAAAACTCTTCAGCAGAGGGTTGCTTTGTCAACAAGTTTTTGTTTTCGGGTAGGAAGGCAGGGCTGGAGGAGACCTTCTGAATCAGCAAACAGGTCTCTTGCATTCACGAGCTGTCTCACATCTCACCCCTACCTCCAAACGTGCTGTAGCCCCTGCGACAGCTGCTGTGCAGCTACTCCAGGTCCTCCGTGCCCTGAAGACCTTAAAGCATCTATTTCAGTCCAAACGTATTCATGTGCTGCCTATAACGACTTGCTCTCCTGACACATTTTCTTTCTCACAGCTCCATCTCCTATCAGAAATCACGCGGACTGCTCTGTGTAAATACTCTTTCTTTTGCTAAGAAAGCCAACACAAACACAAATGTTTTGGGGACATTAAAAAAATCCAGTGATATGAGCAGCTTTTGTAACCAGCTCTGTTATCTTCACTGTTAAGCAAACAGCTTTTAATGAACAGACTTTCATT